CGCATCTCTCCTCCACACTCCCCTTCCCCTCAGGCCCCGCTGCTTGTGCTCTCCATGTCCCTTCTCTCCTCCACCCCCACCCCTGTGAGAACCCCACCGCCGACAGGGACGAGGTGAGCGGTGAGTGGCAGGCAGGCGGGGGGGACTTGCAGGGGAAAGGGGGTGAAGGAGAGGAGGGACATGGGGAGCGGAGGGGGGAAGAGGAGGGACTCAGCCAGGCAGTGAGGGGCGATGGGGGGGCCTTTGGGAAGGGGAAGAGTAGGGACCGGAAGAGGGGAAGCCTAGGTGGGGCCACCATGGCCCAGGCATCCAGTGGCAGGTCGGTGGTGGCTTAACTTCCCCTGGCCTATTATACCTGCTGCCCATGTGCCTGGCTCTGTAACAGATCCTGTTTAATTTGTACTGATCTAACAGTTCCATCTTCCTCTTCACGTTCCCCTTTCTTTGTCCAGCCAGGTAATCATTAACATGGGGTTTCTAGCCGCAGCTGTAAATTAAAAGACAGTAATTTTGTTTCAAGAGGGCTTATTAGAAAGATAAGCTGAGAACAAAACTCTGACAGACAACCTGCTCCTTGTCCTGGGGCTGGTGAACTAGTTAGCAGTTGTTTGAGACCTCGGGAAAGCAGGGCTGTCCTCGAAAATGACTCAGGATCATTGGATGATAACGCTACAGAAAGTGTTTTACCTGCTTCTGGCCATAATCGGGATCCCATGTGAGTATGCGGGGCAGGAGGGGTGTGGCTGGATAGTCATCTTCATACATTTTAAAGCTGAAAGGAAAAATTGTGATCCTGCATCCATCTCATAGCTTCTGGTTGCCCTGGAACAGGGCTTTTAGAAAGACACACCCGGTCTTGACTTAAAGACTTCTAGGGATGGAGAATCCACCAAGTCCCTAGATGAGTTACCTTCGCTGTCAAAAAGGTGCATTTTATATTCAGTCTCTATTTGTCGAGCTTCAACTTCCAGCCACTGGATTTTTGTCATGCCTTTGTCTGCTAGGTTAAAGAGCTCACTACTATCAGAAATCATTTTCATGTATAGGTACTTGTAGACCCTGATCAAGTGGTTTCTTAATCTTCCCTCTGCTACCCTAAATAGACCGTGCTTCTGAAATCTCTAACTGTACGGCAAGTTTCCCATACCTAAGTGAACTCGCAATAGCTCTTTTCTAAGCCCTTTCCGGTGTTTCAACTTCCTTTTTGAAATGTGGACACCTGGACACGCTATTTCAAACCTGGGGAAACAACTTTGAATTTTGGGGGCTGTTTTTTTTCTGACTAGCTCTAGCTATAGAATGGAAGATCACTTCTGAGCATTATCCAGACTGAACCCCGGGTTTCTAAGTGCCACAGGAGATGAAGATGCTCAGGGAACAGGAGAACAGCTGGGGCACAAAAAAAATATGAACCTCTTGATTTCTTTTGCTGCAAATGTTTTCTGCACCATCCTCAATTTTTAATAAGAACTTAAAAAATTTCTGGGTGAAATCTTGGCTCCATTGAAGTCAGTAGCAAAATTCCCATTGAAATCCTCGCTTTGTTGGAGTCATCCTCTGTCTCTTTTTGAATTACGTGATGTAGAGATCAATGCTGCTGCTGCCCTATTAAATGTGACCTGAAAAGGATTTTTAAACGACTGGGTTTGTCTCTTTTTGCTTCTTTATTATAGATAAACTTTTAAATCTTTATAACGAAAAGGAACTTCTTTAAAGCATTAGATCTTGTCTATCTGGGTGAGAACTTGACCGGCATAGTTATTCCACAGTAACTAACAGCTAAATCACAGAATTGTTATGCTGCTCAGTTTCCCCTGTGTAGACAAGCCCTTTAAAATGTCAAGAATGTTAATCCCTTGGTTTTGCTAGAGGACTTCTCTGTGGGATCTCAGCTGTATATTGGGTGCTTTCTTACAATTTAAATGCAGGCGGTGTTGAATCTTTAACATATACTGTCTTTTCCTACATGTTTGTTAGGCATTGGAGTTGAAAAAGGGTTAATTAACCATAACAACACTTAGCCTGTCTGGCTAAAAATCCCTTCCCCTCTGTTACTTAGCTTGCTTTCTCCTGTCTCTTGTGATATTATCATCTCCTCAGTTTTCCATTTGCCTACGGAGTTACAGCATGGACAAAAACTTGAATTTTTAATGCACAAACAAGCAGCCTCTCTCCTTCCCTCTTTTGCTTCTTTCTGGATGAAGCTAAGACATTGGTTTCCCATTTGCAGGTCATCTGTAATACAACCGGGCAGGAATCTCTCTCCAGACAAACAGCAGCACCCCCTCTTGGGCCTGTTTGCCTCAGGGCATGTCTACGTGTGCAAACTGACCAGAATCGCTACTGTGAAACGGTGGTCTGCAATAGCTAGCTGGGAATGAGTGCCCACATGGGTTAGAAGGGGGGTGAAGAGGAGCTTACTTTGCTCTGGCTATGCTAGTCAATTTCCGTGTGTAAATGAGATGTGAAGGGTGTTGGGACCCCACGTGGCTGGTGGTATAAGCTGTCAGCTTGTTTCACAACATATGTGATGGTTCTCAGGGTACCCAGGACTGTCAGTCATGTTGGTATCCTCAGCCTGTAGCGTGAGGGACTCTTGCTTGTGCTTAGCTGGGTGACAGCTCCCTGACACCACCAGCCTGCCAGACACTCCTGCACTCTCCTCTGGGCTGTACCAGCCCTGGCTTTGCCTTGCAAGTTAACAATAGGTGCAGCAGTCCCCAACCCCCTTTGACGCATTCCCCTGTGATGTCCAGCCCCTGCCACTGGCTACTCAGAGAAATACCAGGTCTGCTGTCCCACCATGGCTTGCAGGGTCTGTGGCTCCAGGGCAGCCCCCCCCCCCCCCTGCATCTGGGACCCCAGGGCTTCCAGATATAGCTCAGAAGCCGGGGTTCGCAGAGCTTCCAGGCTCCTTGCTGACTAGATTCAGCTCTGGTCCAGCACTTTGCTTAATCCCACAGCGTTTAGATCTATTTCTAGTGAGAACAAGAATAAGTTTCTGATCAAAGATTCAACATTCAAGTGACAGCGAGTGAGGATCTTGGAAACAAATGATTACATATCAAACAAAATCATAACCTGCTTTCTAGAGACCAAACTTAACTAACAAGTTAACCTCCTGTCTAAAGAAATTTCTCATCCAACAGCTTCTGCAGTTTTTCAGCCAAACTTGGCTGAGATCCTGTTTTCGTGAATGGACACGTTGTCCATTTACTTCCTAGGTGCAGGGTCATGGGGTGTCTTCTTTGCCTCTGCTTACAACCCAGCTTGATTGCCTGTGTTCTGAGACAGGCTAACCACCTGTGGCTTGTCTTACCTGGTGACTTTGCATCTCTTTGTTGACTTCCTGAGTATCCAGATTGATAGAGCCAGAAGAGTTCCCAGAAGTTACCTACTACAGGACAGGCCTAACAAAGAAAATAACAGAACGCCACTAGCCATCACCTTCAGCCCCCAACTAAAACCCCTCCAACGCATTATTAAGGATCTACAACCTATCCTAAAGGATGACCCAACACTCTCACAAGTCTTGGGAGACAGGCCAGTCCTTGCCTACAGACAGCCCCGCAACCTGAAGCAAATACTCACCAACAACCACATACCACACAACAGAACCACTAACCCAGGAACTTATCCTTGCAACAAAGTCCGTTGCCAATTGTGCCCACATATCTATTCAGGGGACACCATCACAGGGCCTAATAACATCAGCCACACTATCAGAGGCTCGTTCACCTGCACATCCACCAATGTGATATATGCCATCATGTGCCAGCAATGCCCCTCTGCCATGTACATTGGTCAAACTGGACAGTCTCTACGTAAAAGAATAAATGGACACAAATCAGATGTCAAGAATTATAACATTCATAAACCAGTCGGAGAACACTTCAATCTCTCTGGTCACACAATCACAGACATGAAGGTCGCTATCTTAAAACAAAAAAACTTCAAATCCAGACTCCAGCGAGAAACTGCTGAATTGGAATTCATTTGCAAATTGGATACTATTAATTTAGGCTTAAATAGAGACTGGGAGTGGCTAAGTCATTATGCAAGGTAGCCTGTTTCCTCTTGGTTTTCCTACCCCCCCCCCCCCCAGATGTTCTGGTTTAACTTGGATTTAAACTTGAAGAGTGGTCAGTTTAGATGAGCTATTACCAGCAGGAGAGTGAGTTTGTGTGTGTATGGGGGTGGGGGGGGATGTGAGAAAACCTGGATCTATGCAGGAAATAGCCCGACTTGATTATGTAAAGAGTTGTCACTTTGGATGGGCTAGCACCAGCAGGAGAGTGAATTTGTGTGGGGGGGTGGAGGGTGAGAAAACCTGGATTTGTGCTGGAAATGGCCCACCTGTTGATCACTTTAGATAAGCTATTACCAGCAGGACAGTGGGGTGGTAGGAGGTATTGTTTCATATTCTCTGTGTGTATGTAAAGTCTGCTGCAGTTTCCACGGTATGCATCTGATGAAGTGAGCTGTAGCTCACGAAAGCTCATGCTCAAATAAATTGGTTAGTCTCTAAGGTGCCACAAGTACTCCTTTTCTTTTTGAGTATCCATTGTGTTTGTTTAATTTCCATCCCAACGGAGAGACTGGCGAATAAACATCTCTTGTCTGACCGAAAACCTGGTTCTTCACCTCTGTTGGTGACTCGTGCCTTAATAAAGACTCTGTGAAAATATTTGCAGCCGATGTACATAACCCCTTACGTCGCATCTATACACACATTTCACAGCAATATTAATGACTAGGGCCACCCTGGCTTTCATTTAAGCCCCCCCATGACATTCTGTGGTGAACCAGGATGTATGCACCAGAATCAGGACATTCCTGTAACCCCCTTGCCAAGCGGCATTGAGGGGATCTTGGGTCACAGCATAGGTCTGTGCTGTGCTGTTCTGTTGGCCCTAGGGCTCAGCTGCAGCAGAGTGGGGGGGAAGATGGGTTTGCTTCCAACTCAAACAGCTGTGGAAATGTCTCTTTCAGCAAACGTCATGACCTTCGTGATCTTCTGGCGGAGGGACTGCTTGATCTCTGCCTCCAGCCGCTACCACCTGATGGCGATGTCCTTGGCCGACACCGTGGTTCTCGTTCTCATTGTTCTCGTGGAGATGATCCTGAAATGCTACAGCACGGAGCCGTTCTGGTACCGGGACCCCTGGTGCACCCTCCGGGACGTCTTCAATTACGGTGCAGTCAACGCCTCCGTCTGGCTGGTGGTGTCCTTCACCGTCGAGCGCTTCGTGGCTATCAACACCTTCAAGCTGAAGGCAAAGCTGTGCTCCCGGAGACGCACGCTCTACATTATCGCCCTGGTTCACGTCTGCAGCTACCTAGTGGCTATGCCGTATTATTGGTCCAACAGATCGGAAAGGGTGAATGGGACGGGGCGGGCGGTCTGCAAATTTAACCCTGACCTTCCCAGCTCTTACGTTGAGGGGCTGGTTTGGTTTCAAACCTCACTCGTCAACATTGTCCCTTATGTCATCATCTTCACCTTGAACAGCCTGACCCTCAGGCAGATCGTCCTCAGCAACAAAGTGCACTGTGTGATGGCCGGAGGGCTCCACCGAGTGAACTCTGGAACCCAATTCAGGTACCAGAAGAAGAAATCCATCCTCCTCCTTGTGACTGTCTCGATGACATTCGCTTATCTGGGCGCCACCAGGTTTGTCACGCAGATTATTCTCAGGACCTGCCATTATGACATAGAGAGACAGGATTACTCTAAGGCTATTAACATTGCGGTGGACATTGGTACTATGCTGGAACTGACCAACTCAGCTGTGAACATGTATCTCTATGCCTGCACCCAGACTGCCTTCCGCAGGGAGCTAATCCATTGCCTCAAGGCTCTCCTCTCTCCCTGCAAAGCACAGAGAACGCACCCATCAGCCATCTTCCAGGTATAATGCACATGTATGCATACACACACGCTGCCTTATGGAGATGTCCTGCTGCATGTCTCCCCAGAGGCAGGTATATCTCCCTGTGTTTAATGAGAGGACTTGCCTTATCCCAGCCAGGAGTGAGGATAAGAGAAATGGGCCTAGCATTAGGTATGTAAAATAAATTCAGTTCAACTTAACATCTTCAGCAGATCGATAGCAGGCCATACGTTCCGGCTTTGTCATCGACTGGCGTGGAGTGTCGGTAGTTTGGATGTGAACTAACACATAGCTATCCCAGCCCCTCCGAGTGACTCCTTCAGCGCTCTGGGGAAAACTGGCTGTGATTTGTCAACGTTAGAGGGGCTTAGAATGAGAGCTGGCCAAAATTCAGGATTTCTGGTTTGTGGGAAACTTCTGTATTTTAGAACTTGTTTCCTTCTGAATGGGAACAAAAGCGCATTTTTTGAAATTTCCCACAACTCAGAAATTCTGAAAGAAAAATAAATGGTTCAGAAACAGGGACACACAATCTGCTCCTTGGGACCCCAGCAGCGGCTGAGTGAAATTGACTTGATTCTTTTCTGTTTCAGGCAGTGGCTGCCAGGGCTGGCAGGGTCTGTGGCTCCAGGGCACCCCCACTATGTGGGACCTTAGGGCTTCCAGACTCCTGATCCAGCTGGCTCCCAGGGCTGCCAGCTCAGAAGCTGGGGTTCACAGAGCTTCCAGGCTCCTTGCAGATTAGAGATGGAGATAGAGCTCCCTGAGCTTTCAGGTTCCCAGGTCTGCAGCAGAGATCCTGGAAGCCCAGGCATGGCAGTGCTGCCCTGGAGTCATGGACCTGGGAAGCACATGGTCTCCAGCAGCCTGCCAGGAAAGTTAATCAAACCCGAGATATTTCTGAAAAACATTTTGGGTTCAATGAATTGGTATGTTCCAGCAAAACTTTTTCACTGTGTTTTCATGTTTGCATACTGGGTTTTTCAGTGCAAGCCATTGGCAGCCTGCTAACATTCTACCAGTTCTGGGCATGCTCAGGTAGCTTCGGGAAAAGCATAGGCAGGGGAAGGAGAATAATCTCTATTGATATATCAGCTGTATCCCTAGGGTTTGTATCACATCCAGAGTTGTATCAATTCAAAATCTGTCTATAGACCAGGCCTAAGTGAAGTCAAAAATATAGCCTTCACGTTGCGCTGAGGGTTCTCGGACCGCATCTTAACAGAGAGCTTGTCCCCGGGGCACCTTCCTCCTGGTCACTAGCTTGTGAAAGACATCCCCTCCCAATCCCAGCCACGTAACGGCCCTGTGACAGCTGCCCTAGAGACCGCCGTACTCCTGAATGGTGAAATGGCTCCTGCAGAAAGCACCTGCAATGGCCTGGGGGAGAGAGAGGTTTCTGTCTTATCCATGATGCCACCACAGCCCAAGGCTAATTGACCCTAATTCGTTTCTCCATTTTCAGTTGGGCTAAACTCAGACTCCACACCCTGGTCTTCAATCTGTGTTGGGTCTTACCAGGAACTGGCTTAAGCCTTCATAACACTTAGCAGTGTCCTTCAGAGGAGCCATCTGAGTGCACTGGCAGCAGGCGATGTGGAGTGCTGCATTTCTTGGAGATGTTTGTATTTGACTCCCGTGCAACCCATCAAACCAGCCCTGAGCGCCAAACCACGCATGTCAAAGCTCAGAGAGCTCTGAAAAGCTCCACCATTAAGAAACAAAGAGCATTGCTTCAGAGTGGCTTTGCCTTTCTAGGGGCTTCTTTGTACTTTGGTTAAAAAGAGAGTATTGTAGTGTGTAGGTTGGGTCTAGTACTGTGAGTGAGAAAGTACAGGCTTCTATGTACTTGTCAAGCACTTTGCGAGTGCTGATAGACGCACCTCAAAGGCTTGGGCCCAGATAAGGCCCTGAGAGTTCAGGGCCCCCACAACGTTGAGCACCAAAGGCCGGCTTAGTTTTGGGACGTGCTGTAGACCGTGACCGTGACCTTCCAGAAAGGAGGTGTGGGTAGGGCCTAATCCCCCTAGGCAAAGATTCAGATTCCTAGGTGTTAAGGAGCCTGATCGGATAATCAAAAATTCGGATAATGGGAAAGTGTGAGGCTGCAGCGCCATCTAGTGGCCACAGGAGAGCTCACCCACGTCTGGACCCGTGCGTGCCGGTTGTTCGGTTAATACGGAGAGCCGCCGGATATCGGCTCAACGGGGTTCTGCTGTATTCCCTTCGCAACTCGCTGAGCATTTCTTCTTCTGTATCTCTGATTTTTAAGAGCAGGTCGGACAAACACCTGTCGGGGGGGAGGGATAGCTCAGAGGTTTGAGCATTGGCCTGCTAAACCCAGGGTTGTGAGCTCAATCCTTGAGGGATCCATTTAGGGATTTGGGGCAAAAATTGGGGATTGGTCCTGCTTTGAGCAGGGGGTTGGACTAGATGACCTCCTGAGGTCCCTTCCAACCCTGATATTCTATGACGGTCTAGAATAATACTTAGTCCTGCCATGAGTGCAGGGGACTGGACTAGATGACCTCGTGCCGTCCCTTCCAGTCCTGCAATTCTATGATTTACCCTATTGCTATGGCTATCGCCTCTCGTGGGCATATTCCCAGCGTGTAGTGGGTGCCTGCCTGCCTGCTGCTGCTACCATCAGCTCTTGGGCTAGGTCTGACACAGAGCTCTTTCACTTCTGAGTCTAGCGGCGGGTGCCGGGCTGTGTTCTGGGGCGCTAAGCCCTGGACCAGAGCGTGATTTTGGTAGCATGTAGGTAAAGACTGAATGAGATGCTCACACTGCAGATTGTCCCACAGAGGTGACAATTCACACGTCTTTGTTTGGAGTCATCCCGAGAGCCTCCTTTCTCAGCGCTCGCTGCCTTACTCTGAGCGATCCGTGGACTCCTTCGGAGACAGCAGCCTGGCTGCCCTACAAGTGCTGGTTTGCTCACGAGATGTTTGCTCCTTTCCGAGTCGGCCTGGGCCAGAATGACCAGGGGGGCAGCGGCCGGCGCACGGTGGTTTGGCTCCTTGAGCTGGCTGAGTCCCAAGAGGGGGTGAGGTGAAGCAGCAAAGAGACGAAGCTGCTGGCTGGAGTGAAAGTTCGGAGCTGGCTTCATTTGAGCAGAACCCGTTTCCATGTCTCTGTTCCCACCGAAGCAGCCCCCTGTCCCTGCTTATGGTCACCTGGCCTGCCTCCTGCCTGTGGAGGCAATGGTGCTCGGATAACGAACCCGACTTTAGGTTCAGAGTCCAGGCTAAGTTCTCCAGCCAGGGCTAGCTGCTGCATCCCCGTGCTCCTCTCCCTGGCTTGTCTCACCTGTTTCTCTGTCCAGCCGCCCCATCAGATTCCAGGTAACATTTACATAAGGGAATCTTCCCCGGGGGGCTGCCACGCAGCGTGGGGGCTTGAGTGAGCTGGAGTCGGCCTAGGTTCAGCGACTGGTGAATCGGGCTCATGTTTATTTACATAAGTGTAGGGAAAACCCGGTGTTTGCCCAGCCGCTCTGAACGAGGGCGGAGCAGCTGGGCAGCAGCAGGAACAGGACGTGCAACTGTATCTGGTGCCCATGCCAGAGCTGGGAGGCCACCTGTGAGATTCAGCTCCCTGCCCAGTCCCAGGCTCCAGCCCTGCCCTGTGATGCTGAGCTGGGGCAGCAGGCAGGCGGGCCGAGTGCTGGGGACAAAGGATCGTAGAGCTGGGCCCCATCCCTCAGCAGGCTGGCCCTGCCCATGCCCTACTATCTAGTCTCATTCCCAGCCCATCACTGGCTGGCCCCAGCCTCCATGACTCAATGTGCCCGCCTCTGGGACTCCCCCCCCATCCCAGACTCAGCAACCGCCCTGGCCCTCAGCAGCCGTTTGCCTCTCCTGAGCTCCACCCCAGGCCTCCTGGCTGCGCCCCTCAGGCTGCCCTCTGCTCCGGGCCAGCCACACGCTTGTCCCCCACCTTTAGCCAAGCCCTACAGGGTGCAGCTAGCCCCTAACAATTCTCCTTCCTTACTCAGCTCCTCCATCCCCTGGCTCTTTCCAGCGGCGTTCCCGTACTGAAGAGCCTAGGCCGGCAGAGGACGGGCCGAGGCCTGCGGAGCCCAGGGTCCCCGGCTCCCCCCGGCACGGCTCCCGTTCGGGCTAACCCTGCAGAGACATGTTGGCAGTTTGGAGAGATAAAGGCTGTTTGTTTTGCCGCTCTGCCAGCAGCTCAATTTCCTGGGAGGGTGAAAGCCCTCGGCCGGGTACCCTGTCCCGTCATGGAGACCCATACAGTGCTAGGGGCAGGCGGGGAGGGGAGCAGAGTGGAGAGGGGACAAGGAAGGGAGAGAAAGGGCACGAATGAAGGCAGGGGTGGAGGGGCAGAGGGGAGAGGTGAGGCAAGCAGAGTGCTGGGGGGGGGGGGGGACAGAGAAGGGGGAAAGGGAGGGGTGGGGGTTCCTGGGAATGACCTGCAGACAAAAGCTCCCACTGAGGAATCTGCTGCTGTTGCCTAGCCAATAGCTGGGAGACCCACAGTGCAGGGATGGGGTGTGCAGTGGGCAGAGGGGGCTGTGCAGTGAGATGGGGTGTAGCAGGCAGGAGGGGCTGTGCAGTGAAATGGGGTGTAGCAGGCAGGAGGGGCTGTGCAGTGAGATGGGGTGTAGCAGACAAGGGGGCTGTGGAGAGGTAGAGGGGGCTGTGCAGTGAGATGGGGTGTGGCAGGCAGGGGGGCTGTGGAGGGGCAGAGGGGGCTGTGCAGTGAGATGGGGTGTAGCAGGCGGGAGGGGCTGTGCAGTGAGATGGGGTGTAGCAGGCAGGAGGGGCTGTGGAGGGGCAGAGGGGGCTGTGCAGTGAGATGGGGTGTGGCAGGCAGGGGGGCTGTGGAGGGGCAGAAGGGGCTGTGCAGTGAGATGGGGTGTAGCAGGCGGGAGGGGCTGTGCAGTGAGATGGGGTGTAGCAGGCAGGGGGGCTGTGGAGGGGCAGAGTGGCCTTTGCCTGGCACCCGGAGCCCAGCTCTGGTCTGTGGGGCCATGCTGGGCTGTCCACGTGGGTGCCCCAGGGCTCACCTCCCTGCCGTGGGGGGTGGCTGGCCAGGGGTCTGTCCTGGGCCCTAACCAGGTGTGACAGAATACAGCCCTGTGTTCACACCCTACGCCCGCCTGCACTAAGGTCAGTGCAAGGGACGCCTTGTGGTGGGTCAGTTCAAAACTCCTCGTTTGCTGATCAATAATCCGACGGCCACATGCACGGAGCGGCGCGACCTGCTAAACACCAGCTGAGCTCACGGCCTGGAGTATGTTGTGCAGAGAAGTCTGGGGAGTGGTGGAACCAGTTCCTCGGAGACAAAGAGCGAGCTGACACCTCACCCAGGCGTAAACAAGACCGATGGATTGCTACCTGCTAAGTGGCCGTTCTTTGGCAGGGGCAAAAAATCGACGTCATTAGCAAAGAACCAGCATGAAGTTCCCACCACACAGACTTCCTGGTGCCTCGCTCCCGGCGGGAAATGCTTCTCAAAGGGGGACAGGACTATACAAAGGAAGCGGCAGACCCCCCCGGGACCCCTCTCTCTTTCCCTGCCCATTGCATTCACTGCACCTGAAGTGACAAAGGGGGCGTTTGTTGGATCTGGAGGAGGGGTCCTGCCCTGAAGAGACTGGTCAGTCAGGCCGCAGAAAGCACCTGGTGAGAAAACGGGGGTTTGAATCTAATAGACTGTGTTAAGCTGGGCACCAGCAGGATTTTATCTTTATTTTTCTTGTAACCCTATCTGACTTTTCTGCCTCGTTGCTTGTACTCACTTGGAATCTCTCTTTGTCCGTAATGCACTTGTTTGATCTAATCCAGCGTGTTCCAGCCGTGGCTGGGTAACTCCGTTTGGGGTAACAATTTGGGTGCATATTCTTCCCTTAAAGGAATAACGGACTTAGTATATTGGTACTGCCCAGCCAGGAGGGGGTATTTCTGGGGGGCAATGTGTTGGGGTCACTCTGTGAGAGGCCAGGTGTGGCTGGCTGGCTGCAGCACACGCAGACATGGCTGGGAGTGATTTGCACGCTGGAGCAATGCAGGGCAAAGGGCACCTCAGGTTGCAGGGCAGGGGTGACTCGTCGGTCTGGCTGGCACCCAGGCACGTCACACCCCAACGGCTGGTTTTTGCAAGGGTCGGGGAAGGTGACTGAGCCTGCCGCCCTCTTGCTGGGGCGAGGGGAGAGACCGCAGGGCTTGGGTTCTGTGCCCACATCAGCTGGGCCCTCTGGGAGGAGCAGGGGCCTTGCGGGATGTGGATTTGGGCTGCAGCCAGGCTGGGGTTGGGACCTGGCTGCGGCTGGCTGGGGTCACCTCCCTGGTGACCTGGGCCAGAGTCAAAGCAGAGACCCAGAGCTGAGAGGCCCACGCTGACAGCCGCAGCCCCCCCCCACCCCCCCAAGTGCAGGGAACTGTCCCCAAGGGCAGGAAGAGCCCTGGGCGCTTTAACAAAGGCTTAAAATATGGAACAAGCTCCGGCGTTGTAAGAGCGAGCGGCCAACGGGGGCTGCTCCCCGCCCCGACACCACAGCATAGCATGACAGGTTCAGGCCCCAGCTTGGGCTTCCATGAACATGGGGAGAGGGGAGCAGCCCTGAGGGAGGAATGAATGGAACCACTTACAGAGCTGGACCCTCTGGAGATCGGCAGGGCCCGAGGAGAGCCAGCGGGAGCCTGGCTGGGTGCGAGACCTCTGGGAGTTCAGGCAAGCTAGAGAAGAGCATTCAGCCCCAGGATGGCTCCACAGAGTCTGCTGGGGTCCTGGGAGGGAGGAAGTAAAAAAGAGAAGAGGGATCCATTCCTGGGCATTACAGAGCAGCGGGTTTAACCTGGGCCCTGCAGAGGGGGCTGGCTGCAGGCTGCACAGCCCTAATGCTTGCACTCCAGCAGCTCCCCACTCCCTGTGGGGAATGGCGGGGCCCACTACAGCAGGGGCCTGGCTGGCGAGACAGCGCAGGGAAAGGCCACAGAGAGCAGGGGCTGCTCGGAACAAAGTCTGCTCGAGCCGCTTCCCATCTGGCTTTGAAGAGCGAATGGGTTACCAGGGCAGAGGAAAAGCAAATCCCCGCCCGGCTGGGAGGGTTGGCGAGTGTTTGGACAGTGCTTTAAGCATGAGAGGTGCCAGCTAGATGCCAGGTACTGGTGAGACTTACAGCCTAGTCCACGTTCTAAGGGCTTTGCTCGGGAGCTCGGCCCTCGGTGTGTTCCCAGTGCACCTGTCGCCTTGCTGGTTAGCTGTGCCTGCATTTCCCCGCACCCAGCCGCGGGGGGCTGCCCACAGGGGCATGGCTCTACATTGGCTCGGCCACCGTTGCATGTGAAAATGTAGCCTACGCTAGCTGCGCTTGCCACCCCACCGTCCTTGTTTTCAGATGGGGAAACCGAGGCACGGACAGGTGACGGGCCTCGTTTTCAAACCGCCTCACCGTTATGTGGGCAAACAGACGCGTGCAACTGTGAGTGTGATTTGCACCCGCTGGGGAATGTACCTTGGGACTCAGGCAGGAGTGCAGGAAGGGCGGCTAGCCCCGTCCACACCCCCCCGCTCTGCCGCGGCTCCGGCGTTGGCTCCAGCACGCTGACGCGCTCAGAGCTAGTGCAGGTCTGTCTGAGCCGGGAACGCCAGGGCCACGTAGACACCAAGCTGCCCGAAAACACACGATGGCTCAGTTGGGGTGGAATCGAGATGGCTCCCGCCAGGGGTCTGTTCGGGGCACTGCTGGCGGGATTGAGAGGCCGGGGAGGAGAACGTTGCCTTCTGCCCTGAAAGCTGGTTC